CTGTTATGTCTAATTCCCTTTCAGTGTTTACTCAGGCACTGTTGCTGGAGCTCGAGAGGCATTCTTCAATGATATCCCTTCTATCTCTATTTCATATGATTGGTATGTTTGCAACATGTTTCTGTGCAATATTACTAGTTCTATCTTGAATATTTGTTCTGAATTGATTTTGAACCAATTTATTAACTTATAATTGTAATTGATAACTCAGTGAATGTCTTGAGTAATAATATTACGGCTTACTAGCTTTATAAGTTTTTCCAGTAATCTTTAATCTATATCCTTCAACATCAATAGCTTTTCATTATCATGTTTCACCATTTGAAGGCTATTCTATGTCCAGGGTTGAAGGAAAGAGTAATCCACATGACTTTGCCCTAGCTGCAGGAGTTTGCATTCCAATCATAAGCGCTTTACTGGTTGAGATAAAGAATCAAAGTTACCCTGGAAGATGTTTTTTGAATATAGACGTACCAAACAATGTTGCGAACCATAAGGTATATTACAATTAGTTTTGCAACTTATATGTTTAGTTTGTGATTTAGAGTTAAATGATTCTTTTAATTTAATATACATGGAAGGAAATTGGCATTAAATTATCCATGTTCTACCTCACCGAGTAGGAAAGCGATTGGTGGCTGTTCATATTGTTGTATATGTTTAACTTGCGATAAATTATTATTATGCTTCTATGATATACAGTCAAATAGCTGTGTTTTGAAGGACTAGCATCACATAATTTTATGCTGTGATGGGATGAACATAATACATTATAGGGGATATATGAAAAACATAGGTTGGTTTTTAGATAATTTCCTCAGGAATAATTTTTAAAAATATTTTATTATTATTTTATGTAATTTTACATAAATTATTTTAGAACTACGGTCCTGTTATTAAGAGCACTGGATTAGACAAACTGAAGAAAGTTGTTTACTTTCTAGCCAAGCTTTATTGGGCCTTGTTTACCAGTAAACTCCAGAATTTCTGTCAAATAAAATCTTTTGTGTCAGCTAGAATGTTGCCTTGCCTCCATGAACCCGCTACAGTTATATCCAATGAATGGTGCCTATTATTCCTCTTTTGAAAGGAGTTGACTTGACCCATCTCGTGATTACAAAAGACTCCTTGTAAACTGGTTAAGAAATTGCAGTCATGTGCGTAATTATTATTGTGGAATTTGTTGTTTTGGATAAATATGATTTGACTTGACTCTATATATGAAAACCAAAAAAGCTTCTGTGATATTATGACAACACATGCTACTGCATCATAAATTGGTACAAAAGGGTGACTACTTGTGGATGCAGCCTCTCTATTTATGGGATGTGCACACCTGACCTTTCCATTGCTCCCACAACATTGGAAACGTTGTACTGTGGGCGGCCCTTGTTACAAAAAGCTGCAGTTAAATTTTCTTTTATTGTCTTTAAAGAGCTGAGTAGTCGAGATTTTGTTTTAATTATCTGTCTCGTGTACTTTTATATCCTAGTATTGAAGTTTACTATTTTATTCAAAGGCTTGCTATTGCTGACTTTGCTACAAGAATATATTGTTTTGTCATGCCATTTTTTATAACTAATTTTTCGATTGTTGTCTGTGCATCTGAAAAAGGGTTACAAGCTAACTAGGCAGGGTAAAAGTATCTTTAAGATGGGATGGAGAGAAGTCACCTCTGAGACAAAAGGACGAATAATGTCATCTGATATGACCAACACAGAAACGGATACACCTAAAAATGTTGGCACATCATCTGCATCATCTGCATCATCTGAACATCTTTTATTTGCCAGAGAGGTAGGTTCTTTTCCTTTTTCTACTCTCAATATATTGTAAAATACCTTCAGACGAGCTTAATATTATGCAATGCAATATGATGTTATTGGACTTGCTACAAACAGAGGATAGTGAAGATTTTAAGTATTCAGTTTTATCAATTTCTGAAGTTAGATGCTAAGTTATATGGAACATTAAACAATCTTACTTGGACAGACATTTCATAACCCCCCCGCCTTCTATTTCTCCAATGAATAATGATGTAGTAATCTTTTAACTTTTGTAGATACGAGGCTCTGTACTTGATCATGATGATGATACGGATCACAAATCTTTGAAGGAGGGCTATGTGAGTGTGTATGTGTGCGTGTGTGCTTAAGTTAAACGAATAAACTCATGCTAAACAATTTCATGTTTTTCATTTTAAAGATCACTGTTACTCCTCTTGCTGGTCTCTCTCGTGCGGATGTAGATAGTCACACCTATTTTGAAGATTGGCTGCAAAGTGTCCCTAAGCATCTCTCTTCGGCAGCTTTATAACCCTGTAAGATCTATCATGTATTTGCAGTTTATATGATAACTTCGATTGCAATATATTCCTAGCAGTAGTTGCATCTGCATTTTAGTGTCCGTGCTAGTTAAAAACGAAAATTATTCTTGTGATGAATGAAAAATTTAGACAGGCTTTCATATAATGCGTTTATGTAACATCATCAGAAGTGACTTTTGTAAACCAATTTACTACAGCCAAAAATTTCAATAACATTTTTTTCAGTATGTATTTGCTTGATAATTGGTGAAATGTGGACCTTATACTTCATTCCTCATAATGTCTATGTTCATGGGGGCAGTCATGATGCATAGATCTATGGCAAACATTTACAGCTAAGAGTCAGTTTGATAGCCCTTTAAAATTAGGAGTGGAATAAATATGGGATTGGGTCATCATACAACTTTTAATATCAAACTTTTCTCTTCTCAAACTCTTTTTTTTTAGGGTACTGACCCTAAAGTCACATAATCAATCTCAGCAATGAAATATAAATGATCAATCATCTACCGGCAACATGTTAGTTGAACATTCCTTGGGATAGGACTATGCATACTCTCCAATGGATGTGATTCTCTTGTGTCTTATTACTATGACTTATGAGTTTTGGTGCTGCCAATGTTGATAAAAGCATCCAAATTTGTAAAGTCATGGTCATGCATTATATAAGGATTTGCTACTTTCCTTCATATGGTAAAAAGTGATAATAGTACTATCGTCGGAATGAATGTGCAAGTATTAGAAAATGTGATTAGAAATCATGATAATAAATTTTCATTTAGTTGAGTTTTGCGAAAATACAACAAATATGTTAATAAATGCATCATCAGTTTTTGATTTATTTATTTTCTGGGGTTGCTTCAAATGTTTTACTCAAAACTGGATCTTGGCCAAGGCCAACACAGGAAAATGTTCAAACATATTTGTCATGGTTACGTTACAAGCATGCACACTGGTACTCGACAGCTCATTTATATTGCCTTTAGTGACTGCCAGTTTAGCATCATATGTCATATGATCAATTTTAATATGCCATCACGTCGTCCCTATCTTTTTTTTTCGGGGGTTGACTTGTGGATGTTTTTTATCTGTGGTTTACTCTGCTTCACTAGAAAAATAATTCTAACCCAAACTATTGGTAAATCAAATTTTCAGATCCTTAGCAGTCTGGTTGCTCTGGTATGCAAGCCATCACTCCAATATTATCACGGCACAATAAAAACATTTCAGCCGATTGTTCTATGATTGAATGAGAAAGCCTATTTTGTGTAAGCTAATAAGTAATGCCAACAAAATATCAGTCATTGTTATATTGATATATGATAGCAATTCTTGTTATGTTGTATTCTTCCAGATCTATATATCAATCTGATGGAAAAAGCTACCTTCCTTTCTAGTAAATGGTGACAGAAATAATTTTATCAAGGTAATTTATTGGAGGGAGTTTTTCAATCTTGCCGTGCTTCCAAATCTGTCAAAACACATCATTGGAAGGATGCTTCCGGTGGTGGATTGAGAAATTTCCTTTTTAGAGGTGAAAGATATTTTTATTAGAAAAAAAAAAGTAAAAATCTATATAACTTGTGATTTGGGTGAATGTGATGGAATAGAAAACGACTTTTTATCTCAATGGTCATTAGTGATGGTTTTGCTATAAATAAACCTAAAATTGATTGGATCGTTTAGATCAAAAAAGAAAGTTCAATATGATTGAAAAACTAAACATCATTATGACAAAATGAATGTTTTAGAGTCTCCAATTATAAATCTCTCTCTCTCAAAAAAAGGTGATACTTTGCAAATTACTACTAAGGTGAGGGTACAAATAAAATACAAATAGCAATAATACATACTTTAACCTAAAAGTGTGAATTGTTGCATTAAAAAGGAAAGTATTATTAAATTGCTCTTAGAATTGAGTTATCTAATCTCTTGTATAAGGAATATTCCTTAATGATTGCTTCACCGTTGTTACTCGTTCCATAGGTAAACTAGTGACCAAATAATAGAAACATTACATTTATAGAATAGCTCAATAAGCATTTATAGAATAGTATACTCTGCACATGCATATCAAAATGTTAGCATCATATAATTCATTTATACCTCAACTCCATTTTCTTACAGCAAAGGTACATAGTTTATTGTATACTTAGCTAGTTTGTTCTATTCACTCCAAAATAGCTTTCACTCTCAAATTCAATAAAGAAAACTAAGGAACAGCAAAAATTACTATCTCAACACCTTAAAATAGACATCTTACCAATAGAAAGCCTTAACAATGACTTCTTTTGGAAAATTACAAACTACTTACCCTACACACGTATTTTCTAAAATATGGAATGCATTAAAGAAAGGGAAAAACATGTACTTAGTAGATGCTTTATAAGACACAGAATTCAATGAAAGACAAATGTTACAAAAGTTAAAAGGAAAAAATAAAGTAAAACCATTTCTTGCACTCATCTTCTATATGATTAACAAGTGGAAAAAAGAGAAGTGAAAAATAAAATGGATGACATAAAGGAAAAATATAGAGAATAAATCAAGTATTAAAAAAAAGCAGGGAATCTGTAAAAGAAAATAGTAAAAAAGCAATGGATAATCTGTGACGATTTCTAAATATTTTATATACATTATTACATCAAGCCTCTTCTCAATTATGATGTTTTCTTCATTTTTGCGACGATATAGAAGGTGGATGTGATTCCACTAATATTGACCAGAGGATTTGAACATCTTCATAGGGACAAGATTTCACATCTTCATATAGAATGTATATCCCTCTTCCTGCAAAAAGTAAACAAGAATGATTGTGTAAAAGAAGAATGGTTAGTGATTGATTGTTTCAAGGATAAGAATTTTTCTACAAAGTATACTAAGAATAATGAAGAAAATGACAAAAAAACATGGACAATGCAAGGTTTGGAAAGTTTCATGGAACATACTCTTCTTTTGAGTTGAATGTAACTTGAACCAAACCTTCTTCAACGGAGAGAAGAGGGATTGAAGCCACCCCATTTGATGAAGAAGGTGTAGCTCATGTAATGTAGTGAAGAAGAAGGTTATTCTAAGAGGGCAAGAGAGAAACAGAGAAAAAAACTCTTATATATATAGCCTTTGCTTAGACAAGGCTAAAAATATTCATGTTTGGGGACATTTTCACATTCCATTGTAGGCCAATGATGACATTAATATATGTTGTAAGGTATAATATCACTTTCATACCTTTTATTCCTAAGGGAACACTCCACCAATCAGCTTTAAATCTCACACTTTCATCACTGAAAAAGTAGAAAAAAGAAGCCTCTATTGGTGTTTCAATTTTCTCTTTCACTAAAGAGTAGCTTGTGGCTGAAGGTACCTATAAATCATTTGGAAGGTTTCCTATTTTGACACATAGGTCTTTCTTATTCCTCTTCCTCTTGCATTTCAAGCAAAAACAATAACCTTTATAAGAGTATCTATCAAGACACACATGTACAAGGCTTTGTTCTCTGCTAGCCACCTGTTACACTAGGGTGCCTTACAAGAGTGAAGATAATGCCTTGCTGACTCAGTATTCACATGTTACTATTCATATGAATGATTTGACTTACTTGAGATTCCTTTAGAATTGCTTTTATTTTTTCATCTCTTTCTTTGGTTTATGCATTAAAGACAATGCAGGAGAGTGACAAGGATCAGAAATGGTTGGTAAATACCACTTATAAAACTAAAATGATTTAACTAACAGCATTGAGAAAATTACATCACAAACATTTTACATGTATTAGAAATCAAGTCAGAGTCAGAAAATATTCAAGTCTCTACATTTTCAACCAATGTAAAACTATTACCCCCACTACTCACACTTGCTACATTCTCAACATTCTCCTAACCAATGCTTTTATCTGGATACTGTTGTTATTGTCCATATAACAATGCCACTGCTGTTAGTTCAGACATCATCCTGAGAAATTGAAGACCAGCCATCACATAAGCACGTTCTAGGCGGGTCCGCTTGAAACGGCCGAAAGAAACTGGAACTATAAGACCTACATTTTTTATCGTTCGTTTCAGATGATTTTTTGTCATCACTCTTAAATCTACCAGAAGCTTCGCTAGGGCTTCTTCTGGAGTGGTGGTTCTCCAAACATTGTTCACTAACGCAACAACGTAGGGTCGAACACCAATATCCAAGGTCTGCACGAGAAAAGGGAGATATTTACTGGCACAGACTTCTGGATCAGTATCAACTCTGTCAATGAGGCGTTTCATGTTGAAAATTGTATGTCTAGACAGCATCTCAGTCAGAGAGTGGTTTGATAACTCCAGTAGAAGTGACTTCATCTTTGAAAGTGACAAATAATTTCATAAACTTTTGATTTATTTTGTTTTTCAATAGAGCGACTTAGGAACCATTTCACACAGCAACATTACATTGTCAGATGCCAATATCAAATCCATCTATATCAGAAAAAAGTAACGAATTTTCCTGAGATGCCAATCCAGGTTCTGCCATCCTGCATAAAACATACGAGAAAGTTGAAAAAATTGTAGCAATTTGCTGAAGAATATGATTAAAACTGATTGTGATTCATCCATTTTACAGTTAACTATATAGCTAACATACATATCATTACCATAGCAGAAAACAAAAGTATACTATTGTTATGGTGTTTAACGAGAAACAAGCATAGTATTCAAGAATTAACCTATGTTATTATGATCAATCAACGGTTAGAAAAATAATTTAAATCGAATGGATTGAGACTAGAATCGTGAACGAAATCACTTATCATATAAGTATTTCAAACACTTTCAAATGTCTTAGAGTTGGAATGTAGGAATACTAATAATTTAGTCTATACTTGAGTTTGCATATGACCGATGAAAATTCAAATGTAGGGAAGATGAGATTTGAAATTTTGTGTGAAGAGGATAGACTTTTGTGTTGTATTTTTTTAAATCTGGAATGTTCAATTTATAGGTCAAAATAGTGTTGTTTCATAAAATTGCGACCCTTGATGAAACACACTTTCAACTATACTTTTATCAAATGTTGTACTGTTTAGCATACAACAATTTTATCAAATGTTTCATTGTTTCGCCTACAACAACATTTTTACCAAATCTTGCATTGTTTCACATACAACAACACTTTTATCAAATATTGCATTGTTTAGCCTACCACAACAATTTTTAAAAGTTGTAATGTTTCGCATTAAATATTGTCTATTTCCGAATTCAAAATACAAAATGTCTACTACAAATATAGTTAAGTATCCTTCAATCTGAACTTAGCCTTATTAAGGATAACACAAAGTTTAACCAGAATGTTAAGTATCTATGCTTTGAATCGTTATACCTTGTGATTATACCGACGTTATCTTACACACATTCTTTAATGGTTTTTAACCTACATCTCTCGCCTAACATTATTTATGCCCATGTGTTTTTCCTACTCTCGTGAGTTTTTCATGAGAGAAACTACAACTCTCACTTTAAGACAACACCATCTCGAAATTCATATAAGTGAAGTTCATTTTATATCTATTTCTTAAGATACATATCCTCAATACAAAAATTCATTAAGAGTTTGAAAAAACTCAACCCTTGATATGTAATAGTCAACATTGTCACAAAATGTTGCACAAACATCCAAATCAACGATTTGTTATTACCCATTGAATCTTAGGTTAAGGTTTGTTAACTTCACATTGGGTTGCTACCATTGTCAGAACCCTTATTCAAAGAATTTCAACCACATACCTTTCGAGGTAGTCTTTACTAAATCTCTGGTCAGTGGTTTACTAAATGGATCAGGCAAGTTATAGCTTGATCTTATATATGTGAATGAAATGATTACATCGTTAATCAATTTTCTCACGAAAGTATGTCTAAGTCCTACTTGCTTAGACTTTCTGTTATACGCCTTTTTGTATACTCTAGGTAAATTGACTTGACTACCGCAATGTATCAACACCTTCGAAACATTGTCTTTAGCCAATGGAACTTCCAATAGAAGGTTCCTCAACCATTCAGCTTCTTCACCAGTGGAAGCAGAAGCCTCGAACTCTAATTCTATGGTTGAGAGAATGATCCACATTTATTTCTTGCTCTTCCAAAAAATTGCATTATCGACTAGTGTAAATATCCACCAAAATGCAGATTTATGATATTCAATACTCGATATCTAAATCGCATATGTATATCCTTTTAATATGGCAGAAATCTACCATAATGGCGACCAAGTTTTGTGGTTTTCATAAGATAGCCAAATTTTATAATGATGGCCTTTCAGTGTTCACCATATGTATTGCTAGTAAAATCTACTCATTTTACTAATTGCAAATGCTATGTCGGATCTAGTACATTGCATGCACTTTCATATTCCAATTGAAGCATAACTCTCCATCATTCTTTTAAAGTTTAACACTAGGATCAAATGAAGTATTCGCTTTCAGATGAGTGCTAAATTATTGTGATTTTTAGTATGAATAATTAGCACTCATCGACTTAATTCATTCATTTTATACCAATAAACCTCAACTTTTTTGTATACTTTGTATAGTTTATGTTATAGTGTATATATTGCGTTATCGTGTAAATATCATTGACTTTAATTGTTTTTATCTCAATTTTGTTGGTATTCAAGCAATGATATTTAGTGATTGTCTTATAGAGCATTGAATAAGCTTTAAATGTTTCTGACCGTGTGTAAAACAAAGTTATAGTTTTCAAGTTATGGTCGAAACAAGAGCTGATTTGTCTGTCATGGTCGCTGTTTGAGCTGAAAGCGAGACGAGCTCTTAACGCAGTTCTTAACTTCATGGTCGCTGATTTTTCAACGCAGTTCTTAACTTCATTCCTATCTATCTGTTTTTTTTAAAAGCTCCTAGTGTTGTCATCTGCAAAATTATCAAGATCCAAACTGATTTCTTATGAAAAGGGGAAGAGAGTAAGAGGAGAATAAATTGGGTCTTATGGGAATCAGTTTGTAAAAAGAAAAAAGATGGAGGATAAGGAATTAACCATTGTGGTTTATTCAATATGGCTTTGGTGAGTAGATGGACTTGGAAGATTGTGAACAAACTGGAGTATACTTGGTTTCACCATTTATCCTTCAAATACAGAGTTATTGAGCCATTTATTTGATTCGATTACTCTATCAACCTCTAAATTTGCATCTCTTTGGTGGAAAGATTTTTGAGGTGTTGTAGCTTCTAAAGGGGTGACTCAAAACTGGTTTATGAACAGTTTATCATGTAAACTTGGTGCAAGTTTCAACATTGATTTCTAGTCTTTTAAATGGTTCAGCATATGAAATTATGTCCTCACCTGCTTTCCCATTTGGTCCGCTTTAATACAATCTATCAATTTCTTTGCAACTTATTTGTAATACGCAGGTTCCTTCCAATGTCCAATTTTTCGCGTGGAGACTTCTTTTGCAAAGACTTTTCAATTAATTCAGCATATGAACCTGTTGTTTTCTTCTTGATTTTTCCATGAGACCAATGAATGTCCAAGACATATGTACCAACGGATGATGGACCATTGAGTTTCAGAACATCCTTCTCAATCAACAACGCTATAAGCACTCAATTAAGAGACTATTATGATAAGAAGAATGCATGAAATGAACTAATTGTTGAGCAATAAAAGATATGTTAGGGGAGTAATAGTCAAGTAATTAAGGTTACCCATAAGTTAATGATACAATAAGGGACGAGTCAAAATATCACCATCATCGAGATGATATTTAACTTTAATCTTAATAGGAGTATCCATTAGATTAGCAGATTGAAGACCAACAATGAAAATCAAATTTGTGTCATATTTGTGTTGAAGGAGGAAGATGCCTTTAAACATGGAATATACCTCAAAAACAAGAAAATAATACTAGTTACCAATATCTTTCATATGAAATTAAGCATGTAATTGTTGTTTAAATCGTTAAATGAAAGCATGATCAGAAACAATGATAACCATATCATCAAAATATAAAATAAATAGAAAAATACCCTCGGTTATGCTATGGAAAAAAAATATAAAAACCATACTAACTATGAGTAAAGGAGATCTTTAGTAGAGTGGAATGATATTTCTCATACTGTCTATCAAGTGCTTCTCTCAAATCGTATAAAGAACATTTAAGCTTGCGCACACCCTTATATGAAGAGAATAGACCTTTAGGGGAGTCATATATATTTTCAATCAAGTCACCATGAAGAAAAGGATTATTCACATCAATTTGATAAAGACACCTCCTATTAGAAGTAATTATATAAAGCAGAGTGCGAGCGATTGTCAATTTGGAAACCAGTACAAATGTCTCATCATAATCAATTCTATATTCCTGATTGTTTTCCAGGGCAACCAATCGATCCTTGGAATGGTTAAGGTACCCACCAGAATTGGGTTTCAGAAAATATACTCATTTGTAGCCCATGGATTTTACATTAGGAGAAGAAGACAATAGTCAACATCCCATGTGAAATTCTCTTGAAGAACCTGAAGCTCCTTATTCATTGATTTTATCCATCACACGTCTTTAAAAATCCATAAGTAAAAAATATGAATAAATATGCTAGAGAGTGAGGCAGTCTAAGAAGTATACGAGGAATCATATTTTTCTGGTAAATATCTATGAGACGCTCAAGATATTCTACTAGAACGACGAGGTGAGGTAGTTTGACAAGTATGTGAGGAAGCATACATGTTTGTATTTTCTAACATATACATTGTCTAATTTATAAATTTCTATAGATTGAGTCATAATAGAAAGTGTTAGAACAAGGTTTTGGTTCTGCATATAATCTCTAGTTTTGATGATAACAATGCATATATTTTATATGTAACAATTTTGTATTCTAATGATTTTCTGAAATGTGCAGTTATAAATTCAAATTGATTATGGATAACTCTAACAAAAATTCATCAGAATCCTTCTGGCATGCCTCAAGAAACTACTTCGTTCGTCTCTGAAGAAACATCAGTAGTTCTGATGAATGATGAATGCATCTGAAGAAAAAGAAAGTTGTGTGCTTCTCAGATAAAGCTTCGCTTCTAGCTCTAAAATCAAGATTATGAGTTTTGAAGATCTGTCCATTCTCTTATGATAATCAAGCCTCTGACAGAATACTCTAAGAAAAATTAAGTGAATACAACTTCTGACTTTGAAGACTTTGAAGACCCCGAAGACTCTGATACCCTTCAGTCATTTATCTTCTGGACTCATTATCACTATAAAGTAGACATATTTTCATAGAACACTTAGGAACAAACTCCATGATAGTATATCCACTTATAAAAGGTCTTCCACTCAAGGTATTTCATGAGCACGCGAGTGTTTTATAGTTAGAAGAATATTTAGTTTAGTGGGAGTTAGTCATTTATGAAGTTTCTGTGTTATATGTTCGATATTATGTATGCATACTATGATTTTGGATATTTTCCAAGTAATAAAGTTTAATATTAAGCTATTTACACTTTGTACAATAAAGTCATTGAATTATCTCACTAAAGTAAAGTAAGACCTGCCAACAGAATTATTGGCAATAATGAGTTAATTATTAGAAATAATTCTGTAGAGATTGTATATTTATTTGTAATATTTATTTTCTTAATTAACATAATTAGTTGTAAATGTAAATAGGGAAGTTTAGCTAATTTAGTGGGTTGAATATTCAACCTGACAGCTGGTAACTACAATATTTATATGTGAGATCAGAATGAAAAGAGATACGGTTCTTTGACCAAAACTTTCTTGTGGATGACATCGTCGTCACATGTTCTGATCAAGATGCTATTTCTAGAATCAAACACTTGTTGCATTCAGCTTTTCAAATGAAAGAATTAGGCCATCTCACTTATTTCTTGGGTTTAAAGGTGCATTATCATCATGAAGGTGTTTTTCTAAATCAACAAAAGTATATTCAAGACTTGGTACAGCTAGCTGGACTAACAAATGCAACCCCCGTAGACACTCCCATGGAAGTTAATGTTAAATATAAAAGAGATGAAGGTGACATTCTTGATGATCCCACTCAATATCGCAAACTGGTAGAATGTCTTATCTATGTCACTATCACTCGTCCAGATATTTCTTTCGCTGTACACACGGTTAGTAAGTTCATGCAAGCTCCACGACATTTCCATCTTTCAGCAGTACAACGGATCATTAGATACCTACTTGGCACTCCAAAGCAAGTTTTATTTTTTCCTGTTGATTCGTCAATCAAACTCCAAGCATATAGTGACGCCGATTGGGCTGGATGTCCAGACACAAGAAAATCTACTATTGGCTGGTGTATGTTCCTAGGAAATGCTCCTATTTCATGGAAATGTAAGAAACAAGATTCTATCTCAAAGTCATCCACTGAAGCAGAATATCGTGCAATGTCTGCCGCTTGTTCTGAAATAATATGGTTGCGTGGTCTTCTTGCTGAGCTTGGATTCTCTCAACAACAACCAACTCCGCTGCATGCTGACAATACCAGTGCCATTCAGATTGCAGCAAATCCAGTTTACCATGAACGGACGAAACACATCGAAGTTGATTGTCACTCTATTCGAGAAGCCTATGATATAAGAGTCATCAATCTACCACATGTCTCAACATCTATTCAAATAGCTGACATCTTCATTAAAATCTTGACACGTCAACGACACAATTTTCTACTTGGCAAATTGATACTTGTGGATTTACTAGCATCAATTTGAGGGGGGATGTCAACAGAATTATTGGCAATAATGAGTTAATTATTAGAAATTATTCTGTAGAGATTATATATTTATTTGTAATATTTATTCTCTTAATTAACATAATTAGCTGTAAATGTAAATAAGGCAGTTTAGCTAATTTAGTGGGTTGAATATTCAACCTGACAGCTGATAACTACAATATTTATATGAGATCAGAATGAAAAGAGATACGGTTCTTTGACTAAAACTTTCTTAGTTAACAAGACCGGTTGAAAATCGATGAAAGGTAAGGTATTATGTAGATACCATAAGTAAATATCTAGTTTGATGAGGGGGCAAATTTGAATATTGAAAGGTGAGGTTACTTATATGGATTATGATCCCCATTTATAGAGTAATCGAAACACATGTTTATCGGGATTCTCTCTTCATCCCTATCAGAAGAAATTCAAGAAACCATAAGGAGCTTTACAAATAGAAAGATCACATATTCGTAACCTTCATCGATTCCAAAGACAAACCCAGATAGACTTTCACTTTCATTCGCTTATTGAATTTTGATCTGATTTTTATAGAATGCTATGATATACTTAACTCATACAAATTAGTTTAGAATACTTTTCTTAATTTCTATAATAATAGAAATCATAAAATATGAACAAATTCAACAAATAAACCTATCAACTAAAAATTCAATAAGATCTAACTAAAATTTTATGAGTTTATTTATTAAAAGTTAAATATTTATGGTCAATAAATATATAGAATATTTGATTTAATATTACATATACATTATAATATCAATTTTATTATTATTCAATTTTGCTAAAACTAAAATAGATAAGAAGTTTCTTTTTTTCATATATCAAATACATATATGAACCTTATTTTTCTTTTTCTATAAATAGAAGGCAAGATAAAAATTGACAAAAGATGTTGGAGGTTTGGGTGAGATTTAGAAATGGAATCAAAATGAGAAAATCCAATTGGTTCAAACCATATCACCTTATCCATATACCAAAACTCACACCACACATTCAAATGCTAAAAATCCATACAAATATTTTGTACTAATATTATTCATTCATTCTTCACTATTGATCTCACTCACTCAACAATCACAACATTCATTCATTCACCATGGCTATGGCAACACAAGCCTCTCTCTTCACACCACCACTCTCAACTCCTAAAACATGGAAACAACCCTCAACTCTATCTTTCATCTCTCTTAAACCCATCAAATTCACACCAAGAACAACAAAAATTTCTGCTACAGAAGACAAAACCGATGCAAAAACCGATGCAAAAACCGATGTAGCAACGAAAGAAGCACCAGTTGGATTCACCCCACCTCAGCTAGACCCAAACACACCATCTCCAATTTTCGGTGGAAGCACCGGTGGACTATTGCGTAAGGCCCAGGTTGAAGAATTCTATGTTATCACATGGGAATCACCTAAAGAACAGATTTTTGAGATGCCAACCGGTGGTGCAGCTATAATGAGAGAGGGTCCTAATCTTCTCAAATTGGCTAGGAAAGAACAGTGTTTGGCTTTAGGAACTAGATTAAGGTCAAAGTACAAGATTAAGTATCAGTTTTATAGGGTTTTCCCTAATGGTGAAGTTCAATATTTGCATCCTAAGGATGGTGTTTATCCAGAGAAGGTTAATCCAGGTCGTCAAGGGGTTGGTGTCAATCTCAGGTCTATTGGGAAGAATGTTAGCCCAATTGAGGTTAAGTTTACTGGTAAGCAACCTTATGATGTTTAAGGGATCATCCAACCCTCAAGGTGTTTGCTTAATTAATTGCCTATGTAATGATGTTATGTACTTATTATAATCACATTTATTTCTGTCAGAAATTATGCTAAACTCTTTACCTGTATTTAATTTTATGATAACTGCTTTTGTCAAACATATTTTGCCTTTTGGAATCAATATTGATTTTGCTTTAGTACATGTTTGGTTTCCATTTTGGAAATACATATATGTGTAGAATTGATTCTGATGTTTGATTCACCGTGATTTCGCTAAACTCGTATGCAAAAGTGTACGTAGTTTATGATGATTGGTGTTGCGAGTTCAATATTGGTCACATAAGTATGAAGTATCTAATGTAGCATAATAAACAAAAACAAAATCACTTAAACAAGATAGAGAGCTTAAAATATATTAGACTAGTGGTATAGATAGAGAGCATCATATGTAAATAGAAGCACAAACAAGATAGGAACCATTGGTTGTTCATTGATACAACACTTAGAAGCCTTTTGAGTGGTGAAAGTACAAGCAAAGGGATAATAGAAGAGGAAGAAAAAAAGTGAACTTCAGAAAGGAAATACATATAATAATAATGAAAGAAATATCTTGAAAGCCTTTGTTAACTTGCATTGTGTGTCTTTTTGTTTTACTATTTGAAGCTAAGTTATGCATTCTTGCCATGACCATATATGAACCTAGCTGATCCCTCTGTGTATACATGGGTTTCATTGATTAGCCTGCACAATAGTGTCATTCAAAATCCTATGAGAATTATAGAACAAATTTTTGATGACAACAACTACTACAAGAGTCTTTAGTTTTTAAGTCTTTCACTTACGAATTACGAACAGCTTTGCTCAAAGTTGAGGATGACAAAAATGTTTTTCCATCAAGATATCTATTCTCTCCGTTGATCCTCTGCCTCATTCTGATGTCTAGTTCTTCAGCACTAAGATCCAAGGGAGAATCTGAAGCCTGTTATAGATCAAAGAAAAAAAATAACATATAGAATACTTAAATTCGGTATTAAAAACTTGTCAAAACATTGAAATTTGATAGTCAATAATTTATAAACTTACCATGACCCATCCCCAGATATCAGCATAAGATGGGATATGAGCTGAGTAAGGTACCACATCTAAAAACATGAAGAAGGTTAATTTAATTTGACTTAATTAGAGCTTTAATTAGAATTATACTAATAACTTTACTTAAACAAGTACTTACACTTGAAAACTTGTCTCAAGGTGTTGTAAATACATGAGAAAACTTCTGTGTGACTGAATATTCCAGCAGGCCCTGCCTGCATTATAGGAATAACAACAACAATTTCATATCATGAATTCTGTTTCTTTCACTTGAGCAAGTTTTTAATATATACTATCGATACAATTATATTCTCCACCACTTTACCTGTGTCACAAATATTCCACCTTTCTTCAGTTTTGGCTTGAGACTGAGTTCATAGAAGTCTTTAGTGTAAAGCTTATAGCAAGGACCTCCTTCTATTGGATCAGCCAAATCTCCAACTATTATATCATACCTCTCTTCTTTGCCTTCTAGTTCAGCCCTGCAATATCACAAGTATAAAATTTAGAACCGATCATTATCATGATGTCTGCAATATCAAATTAATCCTAGTAGCAAAAATAACCTCGCGTCATTGATGACAACTTCAAGTCTCGAATCATGGAAAGCTTCCTTGTTTACAACTAGGTATGATTTGCAAAACTCCACCACCTCCTGCTTCCATCAACATCAACACATTAATTTTAAACCATTTGACATTGAAAGAAATTAAATTAAACAAAATAATGTTAACATACCTCATCAATGTCACACATTACAACTTTGTCTATAGTCTTGTGCCTGAGAAGTTCCCTTGCAGTAGACCCTTCTCCTCCACCCATAATAAAAACATTTTTTGGCCTACAAAATAGAATTAATTTTAGATAATGAAAATATACTAAACTTCTATCTAAACTTCACAAGATCAATAGCTAATTAAATTAAGATTAAAGAAAGTACATAGGATGGTGAAGAAGAGCTGGATGAACAAGACATTCATGGTAGATAAATTCATCTGTCTCTGCACTCTGAAGCTTTCCATCAAGTACTAATGCCTGCAAAGGTATTAGATAATTGAAAAGCTGGTTTAATTTAATTATAATTTTCTTACAAGTTAATGTAACTTAAGAACTTACCTTGCCAAATGGCTTTGTGTCCAACAATGCAATGTCTTGATACTGACTAGCTCCTGTATGCAAGATGCTGCAACCCCACCACACAAAAAAAGGTAGAATCATTATAAAACATTTAGCAAACATAGTGCTTAACTTTTTCATAACCAAAGGCAAAAAGAGCATATAACTTTTACTACATTGTTTATCTTTTTTATAGCTTAAGAAACAGAAAATATCCAAATTTTCGGAGACATTAGGTGCAGACTAATATTTTATTCTTGTCTCACTCAAACACAATGGAAAAGAACCTTCTTTCCATTCTTGTTCCTTGGCTTTCTATTGTCTTTTCATGAACCTTTTAAACTATTACTAGTGATTAAGTAAAAAAGATGAAGATAGTGTAACAATAATATAGTATAGTACCTATTGAGAGCAAAACACCATCTAAGATTCTCTTCAATCTCTTCTTCATACCAGCAGCTTTTCCTATAACCATTAGGAGGTGAGTGGCTTTTGTCATTTCCTCCATTAATACCATTTGAGTAAGCTAGTTCACCCATTTTTTCAATGAGAAAGTGAAATAAGAGAAGAGAAGAGAAGTGTGTTATGAATGGAATGGATATGAGAAATGAGAGAAGGAAGAGGAGAATATAAGAAGGAAAAAGTAATAATTGAAAGGTGGGAAATCTAGGAAAGTGGAAGTGCTTGAGACATGAAAAAAGGTAAATAAAATCCTCATTGGGTTTCGTAAAGTACAATGTATACACACAACATAACATACCATAACCTCTGCGTGTATTAATATCATTATCTTAAATTGAATTGTTTTAACAACTTGTTTAAGACTAGTAAATACTAGTATTAATATTAACATTTGATTAAAAACATAATGTCTACTACTACTTTAAACACAATCATTAACGTTTGTCTGTAATTAGTAAAAGCGCCATCTTAAAAATTAGCACATAGCAAGAGCAGTATTTGTCCATGGAAAAGAAAGAAAAAGTCTCAAAAACTTGATTGGTGGGGTATTTAAGATAGATTTATTTCCTTGACACTTTTTTGTTATATTAGGATTTACTACTTTGCACTAGTACTAAAGTTCAATGAGCTACTATACTATAATAATGCTAACACATGGATGTATAGTAAGTAGGGCTGGCAATGAACCAAACCAACTCGAAGATAGTTCGGAATTCGACTCGACAATTAAATCGTTGAACTAGGTTCATGAACTAAATGAGTTGAGTATGAGCGAAAAATTAAGTTCGTTAACTAAATGAGCTGAACTTGAACTATACATAGTTCGACTCGTTAGGTTCATGAGTCAACTCGGTTACATATGAAAAGAATTATATTGTCTTTAAGATTAGGTTTAAATATTTACTTCAAAACTTAGACAAATTTAATCTTCAATTTAGTAGTTTTTGAATTAGACTCTCAAATGTATCTCTTGAAAGTTGTGTAGGTTTTGAATTAGTAGATTTCAAAGATAAAGTTAAATTTCAATATGATAACTTTTATTTTATTTTAATATTTTATTTAAAAAATATATATTTATTTAAAATGTCAAATATACTAAAAAATATATATATTTAAAAAAATAGTTTTTAAGTTCGTGAACCATGTGAGATGAACCTAATGAGATGAACCTAACGAGTCGAACCGAACTGTTCGTGAACTTATAACGAGTCGAGTTTGAGCTTAAAAAAAAGTTCGTGTCGAACTCGAACTCGAACTCGAATTCGAACAATTCTTAACGAGTCGAGCCGAGCTGAGGTGAGTTCGACTCGACTCGACTCATTTCCAGCCCTAATAGTAAGTATATAATAACATGCTTCAACCAAATCTTATTCGCGGGCTATATTAATCAACTTTCGCTATAATGCTTTATTAAAAATTATGTTTTTATCTAAATTGTAATTTTTGAGATATTTTTTAATAACTATTTTTATAATTTTTCTTGATCTTATTTATCATCTAGTTGTTTGATTTCTTTTTATTTGATTTACTATCTTTACCACAAAATCAATAGTGTATCTTATATATATTCCAAATCATCTAAGTATATTTTACACCATCTTCTCTAATATAAGTGCTACATCGACACTTTTTATAATATTTTTATTTCTAATTCTATCATGTTTAGTCTTACTACTTTGTATCTGTTATACTTATTTTATTCTCGCGTCGATTTTTAACACTCAATATTTTGTCACATACAACATCACAAATCTTACCACAGTGCAATAAAAAATTTCATTCATCTTGAGTAATACTTTTGCATCACATAAAATCTCGGAAGCTCTCATTTATTTCAATCATCGGACTTTAATTTTATGGTTTACATCATCTTTTATTTCTCCATCATTTTGTATTACAGAATCAAGATATTTAAGTTGTGTTATTTGAGGGATGATATGATATTTATTTCTCCATCATTTTGTATTATAGAATCAAGATATTTAAGTTGAATGTATTTCATGAGGACGTATAAAATTATAAAATTAAGGTTAAATGGTTGAGATATACTAAATACATATTTAAATAAAACTTAATTTTAACACTTAAAAATATACTTTCTCCGTTTTAAAATGACTGTCGTTTTAGAGAAAATTTTTTGTTCAAAATGAATGTTATTCTCACTTTTCAACGTAATAATAATTGCTATTTTTCTAATTGTGCCATATAATTATTACTTTGTACATTATTTTCAACACATTAATTATATTAATTTAATAAAAATGCAACAATATCATTACATTCCTTAATCTGTGCAAAAAATTTAAACCACCGTTATTTTGAAACGGATGGAGTACTTTCTTCGTCCTACAATAAATTATCAATTTGAAATAAAAAAGTGTCTCAAAATTAATGATCAATTTCATTTTTCAATATAACTTTTCTAATTCTACCATCTAACTAATACTTTCATCATTCACAATACTCTCTCTCTCAAAATAAGAGGTTTTTTAGTTAAAAAAGTTTGTCCCAAAATAAGAGTCTTTTTACGTTTTTAAGACAACAATAATTATTTTTTATCAGATTTATTGCTAATAAATATTATTTACACAACTTTCAAGATATTACATCACATTACACATTTATAACAATCAATAGTAATTAAGGACACTTTTTTAAAATTGTTACATTTAATTACTCAATAATTATTTTTCTTAATCTATGTACAATAACTTTAAAAGATTTTTATTTTGAGACGGAGAAAATACTTGATAAGAGATATTTTAGTAAAAATATTATTCTCTCTTTTATTTTTTTATTTATGTAAAATGATCAACTAAATCATTTATTATGAAAGGGAAGAAATATAATTGGTTAGTCGAGATAAGTAAATATGCGATCTAGTGGTGAAGAGATTAAACAAGTGCAGATATGAGTGAGTTTCTTGTTGAAGATATACATGGACTAAGTTTTGAAGTTATAGTAAAGAGTTAGTAGTATAAAAATAGGTTTAGGTAAGATTGTAGAGCGTGGAAGTTGTGTATGGGTTTAGATTAGGCATGCGAAAGTGATGATACGTAATGATTCTAATGCATCAATTTGGAGTGAATGGGAGTGACAAGAAACAATTACTAGTTCATAAAATGTGTTGGAAAATGTGAGAAAATAAAATCTTGGTTTTGTTTTTGTGAGAGCGTGCATTGGATACAATCATGTATATTCTCTTTGTATCTCCGCGTGCCTATTCATCATCATCATAATTCTAACGCTAACTCAACATTAATTCTCATTACATGTTGCATTCGACATCTTCACTTTGTGTGTGGGACCCTGTGTTTCTTTTCTTTTGTTGATGCAAGGTTGGCATCAGCATCATGTTGCTCATGCTGTCTCGCCATAACCATGAATCAATCTTGGTCCAATAAACATCATTCTTAGTGCTTCGGTTGGGTGGGGATTATGGAACAGGAAATATCATCATCTCACTTTCCTTCTGCGCCCAACACCCCTTACAATTTTTTTATTTTGTGTCTCATTTTATGATAGGTATCTTAAAATGCATTTACTGCTCCTCAAATTTCATTCTTTTTAAAATTGAAATCTAGACATACACTAAAAATTATATTAGGATCACTTGTTTTTGAATAAAACAAAGATTCAATTATACCTTGATACACTTTGTTAATAAGAATGTTTGAAGCCATTGTTGTAGAAACAGACTTAATGTCTTTTATCTCATATTTTTGAGAACTTTTAAGTAGTATTTGATTTGACTTGTAAACGTTTTATTGTCGATTTCTTTGATTTGGAGACTAAAGGAATATATGAATTTTTTATATAAAGATTCATTAGTAAATCCAAATATAATTTATTTACATAAATTTGAACTAAAATAGTATGTTTTTTGATCGTACCTGATCAGAGAGATCGTTGGGCTGCCACGCGTCTGAGCTGTCGAACGGTAGACTTGACGGACAAAGGGGGGTGTATCTGAAACACACTCTGATGCCAAAGCAAGTGACGAACAGAGTGATTACAAGTACAGAGAAAAAGAGTGAGAATTGATTATCTGACCCTCTATGAAATAGGGTATTTATAATGAGCCTCTGGCGCAGGGCCAACGGTTACCATGCGTTGGGTTAGGCTGTCAGGCCCAACATTGGTAACTGCTAGCGCTGACGTGACGTCGTGAACACCAGCACATGGTCTTCGCCCTATTGTAACTGTTTTGTGCTATCTGGGAGGTGGAGGACCGAATCATCAGGACACGGGTAGTTACTTGATGACGTGTCCCCGCGTAGGGGATACGTAGAGAACGTGGGGGAGGCCTGAGGATCTCCTCGGGCTGGCTGGGCTCTGCCCGACCATGGGGCAGAAGAAGGCTGGTCGGACAGCTATGAAGGTCCTGCCCGACGGTTGCTGGCCTGTGTCCGACGGGAGAAGATGTTCTGCCTGACGGACCTTCTACTGTTGGTCGATGAGGTCTTATTAGGCTTCCGACTAGGTGGAGTTTGGGCATGTTCGGCGATGGGCCAGACATCGGCCCAGTCCAGAACAGCAGCCCCCAAGTCGTTGCTCGCGGTCAAGCGAGCTGCGATTTAAGGTGCGAAAGGAGTCGGGCATGTCGCTACGTCAGGCAGGTTACAACCATGATTTACGGGGATTTTGCGGTCGAGGATGGGAATCTGAAGAGAAGCAGGGACGGAAGAGGGTCGCCACGTGTCCTCCTGCGAGGGCTAGGTACTTGAGTGGCTAGCGTCACTTCGTTTTCCGTGCTAGGAGTATATATACGCGGATCCAGATCGTCCTTTCGTTCATTCGTTTCTTTTGTTGTTGCTCGATGTCTTGAGATATCTGCTTGGCACCTTCAACCTTTCTGTTCGACCTCCACAATCTCTCTGCTCGACGCGACAACCTTTCTGTCACCGCAACACGTAAGTTCCTATCCTCCCTTCTCATGCTTTTTAGTGTTTTCGGCGGCTCTGCTGGGGGCGCCAGGGTGACCGTAGAATTTTCCAGTGAATACGCCCGAGGGTCCTTCAAAACCAGGGTTCCGACTGACTGTCCTTGGCCCTTGCGATGAATGTTTCGGGGACGA